CCCCCCTGGTCCTTCTCTTCACTAGACTAGCCAGGCCCAGTTCCTGCAACCGTTCATCGTGTGTTTTGGCCTTCAGTCCCCTCATCATCTTGCTTGTTCTTCTCTGCACTCTTTCTAGAGTCTCCACATCTTTTTTACATTGTGGAGAGTAAAACTGGATGCAGGATTCCAAGTGTGGCCTTACCTGCACTTGGTGAATGTAAAAATAATAATTACTCAGGTTGTTGAATGCCAAAGGTACAATGATCCGGAATCCATCCTCACTCACCTTGTCCTACTTTTTTTTTTTTTTTTTCAAAACCCAACTTTGGGTATTAAGATGCATAGGAAGTAGGGTACGCCCATAAGATGCTCCTGAACTTTGTGGGATATTTTTAATACCTTCTTTGCAGGTATTAGGCCTTTCATTTATTGTCCCTTAGACCTGCAGCGATGAAGGGACTTGCATAGCCCAAGGATGATGTGAGATGCCATCAGGAATGTTTTTCCTAGAGGATCACCCATGATAGGAGGCTATGGATGAAGGATAATCTATGATCCACTGGAGAAGGGAAGGTCAACCGCTCCTCTCTTCCAACCAAAAGAGGCCTTCACAACCAGGACTGGCCCTGCAGGCTGGAAGGTCCCCACTGAGCTTCTAGGGAACCACAGCTCTGAAGTCTATGATGCCACCGGATTAAGGTCCAGAAGATGATGTGTCCAGAGGCAAAAGGAGAGGCCATATGCTTCACACAAGGACTATCAGAACGGTGAACCAAGGCACACCTGAGATTGTCCAAGCAGAAATTACAGGTTGACATTCTAAAACTGGAATGGAACGGGTCACTTCACATCAAAAAGCTTTAGAAGAAGATAGAATGAATGAGCTGGAAGGGACCTTGGAGGTCTTCTAGTCCAGCCCCCTGCACAAGCAGGAGAACCTCTACCATTTCAGATAACTGATTGTCTACTCTAGACTCTTCTTAAAAACCTCCAGTGATGGAGCGCCCACGATTTCTGGAGGCAACTTCTGTTCCACTGGTTAATTGTCCTCACTGTTAGGAAGTTTCTCCTTAATTCCAGGTTGCTTCTATCTTTGGTTAGTTTCCATCCATTGTTTCTTCTCTTGCCTTCTGGTGCTTTGGAGAATCATTTGACCCCCTCTTCTTTGTAGCAGCCCCTCAAATACTGGAATACTGCTATCACGTCACCCCTAATTCTTCTTTTCTTTAGATCTTCTATTGTGGACCAAGAAAAAATGATAGGAAAGAAGGAACAGCCATCTTTATAACCCAAAGGGTCGAGGTTGCTGTCAGCTGCATCTCAAAAACGATAGAAAGATCTCAATTCTGTTCCAAGGTAAGTCACCCAGAGCAGGTGTTCCAACACGGTGCTCCAGCTGCAGGTGCAGGAATTGGGCGCTTCTAGGATGCTTTATAGCATCTTGTCAAGATAGCACCAAATAACAGTCCTATTGATGATGGACAAACACAGGTAGTCCTTAACTTACAACAGTTCATTTAGTGACCTTCAAAGTTACAAGAAAGCAAAAAGAGATAAAATGGCTATTTGCCCGATTTTGTGAAAATAAAAGTGAAAAGCAAAATACAAGGAATCTGTTTCTCGACTAAATGCTAAATTCCAGGAGAATAAGAGGAGGCAAGGAAATATAGATATTGTACTGCAATGTATGTTATCATGATACATATGGACTAAAGTGATTAAGTATATTAATCGTTAAAAGTTTATTAATAATACATTAATTATATTAAGGGCTGCCATAAAGAGAAGGGTGTATGTGGGTCAATGGATGGAAACTATAATCACGGAGAGAAAAAACCTGGAATTAAGGAAAAACTTCCTGATGGATTCACCTGACAACTGTGTTACTAACTTAACTGCAGTGACTCCCTTAACAACTATGGAAGAAAGGTCATAAAATGGGGCAAAACTCACTTTGCAAACGTCTCACTTAGCAACAGAAATTTTGGTCTCAATTCTGGTCGTAAATCGAGGACTACCCATATAGGCTTCTCACTTGACACCAGGATGTCTGCTGCATTTCCATTGATAAAGCTGTTATCTTCTTTCTAATAAATAGCTCTGGGGATTTTATCCCTTGGATTAGCTATTTCCAGATAGGGAGAAAAGGATAAGGAGAATTTTTCTGACAGAACAATCAACCGATGGAACAGAAGTTGCCTTCGGAAGTTACCGCCGGAGGCTTTCAAGAAGAGACTGGACTGCCATCTCTCAGAAATGGTGTAGGGTCTCCTACTTGGGTGGGGGGCTGGACTAGATGACCTACAAGGTCCCTTCCAATTTTTCTGTTCTGTTCTGTTCTATTCTATTTTCCATCCCATTCCATTCCATTCAATTTCTGATTCCTATTCTACTCTACTCTACTCTATCTATTCTATTCTATTCTATTCTATTCTATTCTATTCTATTCTATTCTATTCTATTCTATTCTATTCTATTCTATTCTATTCATTCCATTCCATTCCATTCCATTTCAGACCTACTCTACTCTATTCTACTCTACTCTACTCCATTCCCTGTTCTGTTCTGTTCTGTTCTGTTCTGTTCTGTTCTGTTCTGTTCTATTCTATTCTATTCTATTCTATTCTATTCTAATTCCATTCCATTCCATTCCATTCCATTCCATTTCAGACCTACTCTACTCTACTCTACTCCCATTCCCTGTTCTGTTCTGTTCTGTTCTGTTCTGTTCTATTCTATTCTATTCTATTCTATTCTATTCTATTCTATTCTATTCTATTCTTCTATTCTATTCTATTCTATTCTATTCTATTCTATTCTATTCTATTCTACTCTACTCTACTCTACTCTACTCTACTCTATTCCATTCCATTCCATTCCATTCCATTCCATTCCATTCTACCCTACCCTACCCTACTCCATTCCATTCCATTCCATTCCATTCCATCCTAATTTCTATTCTATTCTATTCTATTCTATTCTATTCTATTCTATTTATTCTATTCTATTCTATTCTATTCTATTCTATTCCAGTTCTAATTTTTATTCCATTGCATTCCATTCCATTTCTGATTCCTACTCTACTCTACTCCATATTTCTATTCTATTCTATTCTATTCTATTCTATTCTATTCTATTCTTTCTATTCTACTCTAGACTCTACTCTACTCTACTCTATTCCATGTTTCTGTTCTGTTCTATTCTATTCTATTCTATTCTATTCTATTCTATTCTATTCTATTCTATTCTATTCTATTCTATTCTATTCCATTCCATTCCATTCCATTCCATTCCATTCCTGATTCCTGCCCTACTCTACTCTACTCTACTCCCATTCCCTATTCTGTTCTGTTCTATTCTATTCCATTCTACTCCATTCCACTTCTTTCCTACTCTACTCTACTCTACTCTACTCTACTCTACTCTACTCCATATTTCTATTCTATTCTATTCTATTCTATTCTATTCTATTCTATTCTATTCTATTCTATTCTATTCTATTCTATTCTATTCTATTCTATTCTTTCTATTCTACTCTAGACTCTACTCTACTCTACTCTATTCCATGTTTCTGTTCTATTCTATTCTATTCTATTCTATTCTATTCTATTCTATTCTATTCTATTCTATTCCATTCCATTCCATTCCATTTTTCTATTCTACTCTAGACTCTACTCTACTCTACTCTATTCCATGTTTCTGTTCTATTCTATTCTATTCTATTCTATTCTATTCTATTCTATTCTATTCTATTCTATTCTATTCTATTCTATTCTATTCTTTCTATTCTACTCTAGACTCTACTCTACTCTACTCTATTCCATGTTTCTGTTCTATTCTATTCTATTCTATTCTATTCTATTCTATTCTATTCTATTCTATTCTATTCCATTCCATTCTATTCTATTCTATTCTATTCTATTCTATTCTATTCTACTCTACTCTACTCTACTCTACTCTACTCTACTCTACTCTATTCCATTCCATTCCATTCCATTCCATTCCATTCCATTCCATTCCATTCTACCCTACCCTACCCTACTCCATTCCATTCCATTCCATTCCATTCCATCCTAATTTCTATTCTATTCTATTCTATTCTATTCTATTCTATTCTATTCTATTCTATTCTATTCTATTCCAGTTCTAATTTCTATTCTATTCTATTTTCTATTTCTATTCCATTCTGTTCTTCTAAAGATTCAAGGCCACGGTTCTCCCTGTTGCAACACACAAGCTGTGAAAGTCTTTGTTCTATTACAGATACAGAGGAAGCCAAAGCCGAACAGTCCCACCGTTGCCTGCGAATGCGCTGGAAAAAACCTTGAAGCCCAAGAATAACAAATATTTCAATAGCTGAAATAAAGCCAGGCTGTTGTTCACTGGAAGCACCAGATAAACCTTAAATAGTTTGGAGGCACAATGTAAAGTCCAAAATCAGTCATTGATGCTTGGCGGGGGGGGAATCAAAACTGAAAAAGGGGCCGCCAAAAATCAAGGAGGCAGTTTCAGACAGATGGACCTGATTAAAATTATGTCCCTTGATCATAAAGAGTTTGACTGGCTGAATAACCTGCTGCTGCTTTGTTGATTTTCAAATGTTAGCTTAAAAGGAGGGTTTTTTTAAAGTCTTGTATCTTATGATTCTTGATGAATGTATTTTTTTAATGTAAACTGAGAGCATATGCACCAGACAAATTCCAGTCTAATTTCTATTCTATTCTATTCTATTCTATTCTATTCTATTCTATTCTATTCTATTCTATTCTATTCTATTCTATTCTACTCTATTCCATATTTCTATTCTATTCTATTCTATTCTATTCTATTCTATTCTATTCTATTCTATTCTATTCCTATTCTATTCTATTCTATTCTATTCTATTCTATTCTATTCTATTCTTATTTCTAGAACCAGGGGATCAGGGGGCACCTGTTAACTATGATGTTCTGTGGCCAAACAGATTTTTTTCCATGATCATCTGGATGCCAATAATTTTCTCCCTATTATCTTTCAGCTGAAAAGGAACATGTACCCAGGCAGGACAGGACAACATTTCCTCCAACTCCTGCTAAGGAGAAATTTCCTGGCAGTAAGAACAATCCATCAGTGGCATGGTTCCCCTCCAGAAGTGGTGGGCGCTCCATCACTGGAGGAGCTGTGAAGAAGAGTTTCGACAGCCATTTCTTCAGAATGATGTATCTTGCTTGAGCTGGGGGTTGGACTAGAAGACCTCTGAGATCCTTTCTGACAGTGTCATCGACACAATTGGGCGGACTCAGGGAGACAGTGGAGCACAGAGAGGGCTGACATGCTGTTTCCATGGCTTCCTGGGAGCTGGGCACGACTTATCGACTGAACCCCAAAGTCCTTTCCAACCCTATTATTTTATGTTCTATGTATGATTTCTCCAGAATCTCCCAAAGGTGCTTTTTTAGGAGGCAACTGGACTTTCTGGTTTTTCTGTTAAAATATTTCTCTTCTCATCCAAGAAGCTTCTTCAGCTCTGACAGGATATTGGGGATTGGAAGAATTTATACTCCTTGCAGACAGCTGGTCATTTGCATCCTTTAGAGGGTCCCTGAGGCACTTGGAGGCTTATCTGTGTCCTCAGGGACACCTGAGTGGTGCAAATGGTTCCTGTAGTCTGCAATTTTTCCTCTGGAAATCCATTCTTATTCCCACACCATTGAAAAGGTGTCCATCCCAAATTGCATAGCAAAAAGTCTGTAGAGATTCTCAGTCATCCAGGTCATGGTTGTCCCAAAGGGGCTTTTTCAGGAGGCAACTGGACTTTCTTATTTTTTTTTCTTTTGAAGACCTTTCGCTTCTTTAGCTTCTCCAGAATTTGTCCACATAATTAATTAGAACTACTAATCAGTGGAACAACATGCCTCCAGAAGTTGTGAATGCTCTAACACTGGAGGTTTTTAAAGAAGAGTTTGGACAGCTATTTGTCTGAAATGGTGTAGGGTTTCCTTCCTGAGCACGGGGTTGGACTAGAGGACCTCCAAGGTCCCTTCCAATTCTGTTATTCTGTTATAAGTTCTAAAATTCTCCTCACAGCCGACAGCGTCATCTCCTTTCCTCCTTGAGGACCATAAAAGCCAATAGTCTCCAGTAGCGCAAGAGGCTCCAGTCTCCCATGCAAGAGACTCTCGTCACCTGAGAATCTAGTCAGTTGCCTGGGGTGCTTGGTGCCCACGGCCTGTCCCTGCCCCTGTCAACTCGCAAAGCATCCCTGGCTTGCTCTCGAGTTGCCATAGGCAAGGGAGATGGGAAAACGGCGAAGCAGCATGGCAGCCAAAAACAAAAGCACATTCCAGACATATCTCTCTCAAGGCTGTCTCCCAGAGTTACCTACAGTGGCCGGAGGGGAGTGATCTCTACAACCCGCGAAATTGGTCTGTTGGCGAATGTGACTGATGACATGCCCTGGAGGGGGGGGAAGTCTGGGCTGTAAATTATGTGGGGTCAGAGTTGGCTTCACTTGGAACGTGCCGACATGAAGCTCCTAATAAATAACTGAATTTCTTTTGAAGCTTGGCTTGAGGCTCATGATTTAATTAGGGCATCCGTCAGAACCCTGACAGCCCCATTAAATGAGCAGCTCAGCTCCCCATCACTGAACAAATATTTCTTCATCCTGTATGTTGTGAAGATGAATGACCCAGGCTGCCGGACTGCTACGAGAAGCTCCTATCAAAGCAAGTGACCAAAACAAGCTGGGATCTCACACTTCGGGGGGCAGAGTTTACCTCTCCACAAGGCAGTGATTCTCAACCTTGGCAACTTTAAGACAGGTGGACTTCAACTCCCAGAATTCCACTGCCGGCATTCCCCAGGGGAATTCTGGGAGTTGAAGTCCACCCGTCTTAAAAGTTGCCAAGGATGAGAGATGCTGCTGTAAGGGCATGCAATTGTTCAGTTTGGTGCTTTTCTCCCTGCCAGGGACATCCAGAGGGATGGGTCACAAACATCAGTCTGGCAGTGATGACTGTGTGGCCAAAGCCTTTCTCCTGGCATCAGCCCCCAACTCCCAGTTTCAGGTCCATTAGCCGGAGGGAGCCATGACCAAGACCGTGGAGGGGAAGGGATCCTTACCTACAACTTTTGGCAACTTCTGACGGCGAAGGGGGATCCGGGGCAGCTTCAAGCTGATTTGGCTGAACTGTCCGCAAAGGCGCCTTGAAGATTTTTTACGAGCCAAGTCCTGGCGTATGCTGTGAAGGAAGCCGGATAACCAGGTGAGACCACGGTCAAAAGTTGCCGCATGGATAGCAATAGCCCTTAGACTTATATGCCGCTTCACAGTGCTTTCCAGCCCTCTCTAAGCGGTTTTACAGAGTCAGCCACTTGCCCCCAACAATCTGGCTCCTCATTTTACTGACTTCAGAAGGATGGAAGGCTGAGTCAACCTTGAGCCAGTCAGGATCAAACTGCTGGCAGTTGGCAGAATTAGCCTGCAATACTCATTCTCACCACTGCGCCACCACAACTCCCAATATGACAGTGGAGGTCATATTGCATTGCATCTTTATAATTTGCTCGTTCTGTCTTAGACTTCTCTGCATCTCACTTACCCTACCTGTGCAAGGTGATGGGGAAGGGGGAGGGCTGTAATCCAAAGGCAGGGGAAAGTGGCATCTATGGCTATGGATGGAATAAGGCAGGATTTTCCAACCTTGGCCACTTTAAGATGATTGGACTTCAATACCCAGAATTCCCCAGCCAGCAAGGGGATTTCTGGGTGTTGAAGTCCAAACCTTCTGGACAAATGGTGGCCATTCGAAATTCGGACATCATTGAAAAAGTGAGTTATGACCATTTTTCACACTTATGACCGTTGCCGCATCCCCAGGTTCATGTCATCGAAATTCAGGCACTTGGCAACCGATTCACATTTATGACGGTTGCAGTGTTCCAGGATCCTGTGCTCCCCTTTTGCAACCTTCTCACAAGAAGGTCCATGGAGAAGACAGATGCACTTAACAACGGTGTTACTAAGTTAACCACTGCAGTGATTCACTTAACAACCGTGGCAAGAAAGGTCGTAAAATGAGGCAAAACTCACTTGTCTCGCTTAGCAACAGAAATTTTGGCCTCCATTGTGATCACAAGTCAAGGACTACCAGTAATTGTTTTCAGGAAATTGGGCAGCTAAAAAGGAAGCTGGCCAGATGGAAGTGCCTCCCGGCCCGTCTTTCCTCTCCCGTCTTGGCATCCCTTTCAGCCAGGGCTCTTTTCTGGAAGACCAGTTCTCTGCAGCTTCCCTCCTCCCACTCACCCCCATGGCACCCACCCACCCACCCCTGGTGGGTACTCACTCCCGGGCCTGATCCTTCTTGCGGCAAATGCAACAGCAGGACAACAGCGAGAGGAGAAGGCAGAGCAGGAAGATCAGGAGGACTCCGGCACCAATGACTCCCATCCGCTGATTGGCCTCTGGGAAAAAGAGGTTGGCCAGAGTCAGTGGGCCGAGGAAGTCACAAGCCTGACTGGGTGGCTCAGTGGCTAAGAAACTGAGCTTGTTGATCAGAAAGGTCGGCAGTTCGGCGGTTCAAATCCCTAGTATAGGTCTCCTGCTTGAGCAGGGGGTTGGACTAGATGACCTACAAGGTCCCTTCAACTCTGTTACTGTTAAACCAGCTGCCCTTGCAAGGTGGGACCCGGGAAAGGTTGTTGCAGAGTTTGTTGAAACAAGGCAAGTTGGCGGCTGCGACAATGTGAGGAGTGTCAGCACTTCAAGCTGCATTTACTCTAGTGCTGACATAAGAAGGAGAAGCGGTCTGGAAAGGGACGTTTGACTTTTCATCTACTTATTTTCCCTGGAGATAATATCCCCTAGGAGATGGGATGGGAGGGGGGAAATTCCTTTGAGCTGGAGCGGTAGATTAGGGGTAGAATGACTTGGAAGTTGGCCAATGAGTGCAGGGGAGTGGGGAACGGAAAGGGAGGGTTTTGGGTCTGGAAGTCAGTGTTGGCTTCGATGGAGTCGGATTTTAGAATGTCGTGCTTAATAAATAGGAGTTTTCCTTCAAAGACTTCCTTTGAAATGCAATTTATTTGAGACGACCTCGAAACCTGACAAGGAGGCTGTTGTGGTTGCCTTGTGAACCTTGGGGGCCACACCTTGCACTTCCCCCACCCAACTGGGGCAAGAAGGTTTGGGGGAAGGTTGGCCAGGCACTTACTTACCCATGTGGCACATGCCGGTGAAGGGGTTGCAGGAGTCCTCGTGGCAGTTGCACAGCTCGGCACAGTTTGCCCCGTAATGGCCAGTTGGGCAGGTCAGGTTGCAGCTGGGGAAAGAAGAGTGGGCAAAAGAGGTTGAGTCCCCTCTTCCAAAAGCAGACCTGGAGCTCGCCACAATTTAAATCCCATTTAAATTACTCCAAGAAGCCCTCCTGGAAAGCGCAGTGGGATAAGGCCACATTTAATATTTGCGTGACCGATGGCAGGGACTCTAGCCTGGTGCCCAGGAGCTACAGCACAACTTGTAGGCATCTTGATGGATGCCTAAATAGAAATAGTTTCTCTGCTGCGTCAAACGAATCATCTATGGAGATTCTCAGTCATCCAGGTCATGGTTGTCCCAAAGGTGCTTTTTCAAGAGACTTTCTTGGTTTTTCTTTAAAGACGTTTCGCTTCCCGTCCGAGAGAATGAGGAGAAGAGCTGAAGAAGCTTCTTGGATGAGAAGCGAAACATCTTCAAAGAAAAACCAAGGAAGTCCAGTTGCCTCTTGAAAAAAAAAAACACCTTTGGGATTTCAAATGAAACTTTTCTCACAACTCCAGGCAGTGGTGCAACCCGCCCCACAACTCCATGGGTTTCCATTACACACTGAATCAGTGGTGAAATCCAAATTTTTTTACTACCGGTTCGGTGGGCGTGGCTTGGTGGGCGTGGCAGGGGAAGGATACTGCAAAATCTCCATTCCCTCCCTGCTCCTGGGGGAAGGATATTGCAAAATCTCCATTCCCATCCCACTCTGGGGCCAGTCAGAGGTGGTATTTGCTGGTTCTCCAAACTACTCAAAATTTCTGCTACTGGTTCTCCAGAACCTGTCAGAACCTGCTGGATTTCACCCCTGCACTGAATCCTATACACTCTGCCCCCTTTTCAATCTACCAGCCTTACAATTTGTGAAACCCAAAGTCCCAACACACCATTGACGGATCCTGTCCCTGAACCCCATGGGAGTCAGCTTGAAGAGCTGCTTCCTGCTACCCAAAAGCGACCAGGGACCTGGATCAGGAGATGGAGGCATGTCCTGGCCGGAAAGCTTGAATTCAGCTCCCTGCTTGACCTGCTCCTATGAAAGGTAGCCACAGTCAGCGGGCAAAGGCAGGAGAAAGCCCTCTCCATCCACCTTCTGAAGGCAGTTGTGGGAGCTTCATCACTGGAAGCTTTCAAGAAGAGACTGGACTGTCCTCTGTCAAAAATGGCGAAGGGTCTGCTGGGTAGGGCGGGGTGGACTAGATGACCTACAAGGTCCCTTCCAACTCTGTTCATCTGTACCTAGCTTCGGCCCGAGTGTTGCACTCTCCTGAGCAAAGCTCCCTCTTGGCCACATGGCTTCATGGCCCGTACACCAAGCTCAGCCTCCTGTCACTGTGGCTATGCTCTAAGCAGGGAGGAGAAGAGAGGGGGATGCCGAAAGAGGGACTGAGTAGAGGCCAAAGGAGGAAAAAGAACATAGAATCCTAGGCTGGAAGAAACCATGGAGGTCTCTAGTCCAACCCACTGCTCAGGCAGGTGTTGTGACCCAGCTTCCCAAACACAACCAACCCTCTGAAGTGAACTCAAAGATTCCTTTATTAGAAGCGCCAGCAGCCCCGACAAAAAGTTTCTCTCTCACTGCAGGCTGTCTGGCCGGGAGATGAATAGTTGTCTGCCCCATCTATTCATCTCTGTCCCCTGCCTTTTATCCCCACAGCTAGGGTGGGGCTTCGCTAGCAGCGGTGGCTCTTCCTTCCCAAGGACCAGCCCATAGATTTCCACTGCTCTCCTCTCCTCTGCCTTCTGCGCATCCACATGGCAGGCACTGGACCCAGCTGCTCCTCCTCTTCCTCATCAGCCACCTCCAGGCCTGGGGGCTGTTGACTCTCCCTCGGAGGGATGACGGACAGCCCAGGCTCCGCCTCTGTCTCTCTCTCTCTGACAGCTCCCTTCCCTCTTCCCCCTCGGAGCTCTCAGATTGCCTTGATGTTGACCCTGACTTCCACGCCTCCCTCTCCTCCTCCTCTGATTCGGCTGCTGGAGGGCCGACAGGCCACAACAGCATGAGACCCTCTACCATTCCGGATAAATGGCTCTCCAGCCTCTTCTTGAAAACTTCCAGTGAAGGAGCACCCACAACTTCTAGGGCAGCGTTTCTCAACCTTGGAAGCTTGAAGATGGGTGGACTCAACTCCCAGAATCCCCCAGCCAGCGCTGCTGGCTGGAGGATTCTGGGAGTTGAAGTCCACCCATCTTCAAGCTTCCAAGGTTGAAAAACACTGTAGGTATATTCAGGTATTCCCAGCTCAATTACTTTTTAATTATGTAAACAATTAGGTTAGTTGTATAGTATAATTGTATTTTTCCTAGGAAAGAACATCTCATTCTCTTAGCTGCCCAGATTTACTCGACAGTGAGATTAAATCAATGTTGGCAGCTGTAAAGTGGATTATGTCTTCTTTATTGTGGCCAATCCAGCTGGTGCATACAAGGCACCGTATCTTGCATATCTGTTTTGCCTTAGAGGGAATGTCAATCTCAGGATTTCTTTATCGTTATTGTTGTGGGTTTTTATACCATTACCTTTATTCTGTTTTATGGGTCACAAACCACCCAAAGTTATGTTATGATGAGTAGTTAGGTACATTTTTGAACAAATAAAGATTGCACTGCTAAAATTTGCTGGTATAAATTTTCACAATTTATTTTAAATAAGCACCGGACTAGATGTGTGAGACCCCAAAAGGCTTATTGTATAGTACCTCCCCAAAAAACAAAGGAGAACCAACATTTGGGGCCCTGCCCGTTCACAGTGCCTTTGCTGTACCACCACGGCCTCCCCCTTGGGGTCCTCAGAGGTTGGAAAAAATGAGGCAGCCCCCAACCACAAAATTGGTTGGCTCCATGCCAAGCCCTGAGCAAGAGGCGTCCTTGGGATGTGACTGCCAAAAAAAAATCCATCTGGCAGCTGCAACAGCACCATTTCTCATGTATGTTGAAAAGGGGAGGGGGCTTCAGTCATAGTCGGGGGCCTCCATCTTGATTTTTATGACCCTTTTCTCGGTCATCCCTGGCCCTGAGCTTTTTTTAATGGCTATTTAAGTCTCCCTCCAAATTGTGTGTTGCACTTCCTCTGTGCAAACACTTCCTCTGTGGTTTGCCTTAAGTCCAGTGGGTCAACCAAATGCAGGATGCAGCCCAACCTCCCTGGAGTTATCTAACTTCCCCAGAGCCCACCCACCCCAGGGGGGGGGGAACCTTTGGGCAACCCTGGAAGGTTTGGAGAAGCGGAAGGAGCCAAGTGAGTAGCCTGCAAAGCTAAAAATACCCCATTCACTTTTAAATGTCCTTTAAATCCTCTCCTATGGCCAAGCCCTGTGGCTTAGTTTAGCTTTCAAGAGCCCAAAATAAGTAATTCTCCGACTTCATAGCCATTCTTACAAGTGGGATGATTTTCCCCATTTGGGTGAAGAATGGGAGCTCCTTAAAGACTTACAGCATACATTTTTCCTTCCAAATGGGCAGTTAAAAAAAACAAAAAACCCCAAACCCCAAATGGCTTTTGAGCACAGGAAGGTTGTGCTCCTCTGATCTAATAAGAGCTGCCCCTTGGACCAGCTTTGCTTACAGTTCCCTTCTCCACTAGGGCAGATGTGCCCAATTTATGAACTCTGCTAGTGTCAGATCTGCCAGAGAGAGAGAGTGAGTGAGGGAGAGGAGAGAGAGAGAGAGAGAGAGAGAGAGGGAGAGAGAGGGGGGAGAGAGAGGGAGGGGGGAGGAGGGAGAGGGAGAGAGAGAGAGGGAGAGAGAGGGAAGGAGGGAGAGAGAGGAAGAGAGAGGAAGAGGGGGAGAGGGGGGAGAGAGGGAGAGAGAGGAGAGAGAGGGAGGGGGAGGGAGAGGGAGAGGGGGGAGAGAGAGGGAGGAGGGAGAGAGAGGAAGAGAGAGGAGAGGGGGAGAGGAGGGGGAGAGAGGGAGAGGGAGGGAGAGAGAAGAATAGGGAGGGAGAAGGAGGGAGAGAGGGAGGAAGAGAGAGAGATTTGATGGAAGCTAAAGATGTGACAATCAGCCTGTTACAGTCTTCAGGGTTGCAGAGCCTGGGAAAAGAATGCAAACTGTACCAAGTGGTAGCAAACATCTGAGATGTTCCCAAAATGCCTATGCAGTACGACTATTGGATGGAGACGGACTGGTCAAGGGGGGAAGGGCCGGGAAGAAGAGGAAAAAATTGTAATGCTTTGCGTGGGAACCTCAGATCTCACCTTTCTTTTTGCTGCAACCATCTATCCTTAGTAAAAGAACCTATTGCTTCAGCCCAGTGGAGTCGAGGGTCTTTCTTCCCTTGGGACCTGGCTGGGGCAGGCCTAACAGCTAGCCACCTCTCACCAAACTAGCAGTCCAAGTGTGGGCGCTCTTATGAGCGAGTTCTGTGGCTTAGCCTGGCTTCTGAACTGAGATACAGGTGGTCCTCACTTACAACCATTCGTTTAACGATTGTTCGAAGTTACAGCAGCACTGAAAAAAAAATGGCTTATGACTAATCCTTCACACTTACGACCGTCACAGCATCTCCACAATCACACGATCCAAATGTGGGCCCCTGGCAACTGGCAAGTATTTAACACGGTCTCCATGTCCCATCATCATTTGCAACCTTCCCAGCCAGTTTCCGACGAGCAAAATCAAGGGTGGGGGAGGAGAAAGTTGGATTTGCTTAACAAATATGTGATTCGCTTAACAACAGTGGCAAAAAAGGTCATAAACCAGAGAGTGACTCACGGACAGCCCTCTTGCTTAGAAATGGAAATTGTGGTTGTAAGTACGAGGACGACCTGTTCCTGCCACTCACTAGCCCAGGGATGGGTTTAAGCAGCTTTATGGTAGCAATCCATCATTAGCTCTTGAGATTCTGGCTGAGGATTTTCATCAGCCGTCCAAACGATGCTTTTTCAGGAGGCAACTGGACTTTTCTTTTGAAGGCGTTTTGCTTCTCATCCAAGAAGCTTCTTCAGCTCTGACAGGGATGGGGAACCATTTATCCAATCCATTCCATCCATCATCCATCCATCCATCCATCATCTA